TACAAAACAATATTTTTATTTGATTTTGAAAATTTTATATAATAAAAAAAATATTCTACAGCATACATATAATACTTATCAATTATACTTTAACTTTAAAAAATTACAGCTAAAATCTTAAACCTATAGCAAAAATATCTACAAACAAAATTGTACAACAATTAATTTACATTTACAACCGAACTAATCACCCACTTTGTCTAGAGAGCTCAAATTTTTAAATAGTTATATATACTTATGTGCTGAAGAAAAGTTGTAAGAAATAGTATGTTGCATTCAATTAACTTATCATTGATATTCATGTTTTATTAATTATTGTTCAGATGATTTGGTAGGAATTAGTTAACTTTTCTAATAAGAGAAACTAAAAAGGGGCAAACAAAACCGAAATTTTAGCATAACCGAGCTGGTCAAGACCCCTATACATACCAACACCACCTTCATATCTCGGTATACTCCGGTTAAGCCCTAACTTCTCAAAAAGTTACAAAATAACAAAATATTACCAAACTTGGTTATTTCCGAAGACTAGTATGTCCACAAACCACAAGCCTGAACCACCAGTTTTTAGTGATTTACAAATCGTCTCTCTTCACAAACCGGCCCTGAAAAATAAAGATGAACCAAAAAAACCAATGAGGATTTAGAATCAGAAAATCTACGCATTAACCAAATACTAGTTCTCAGTGTGAGTTCAAAAAATTAAACCTAATCCTAGATCACCAATACATGTATCATAATTCGGTTCAAAGGAAAGCTTACTTTAACTCGAGGACGTTTTTCAGCGTTGAGTTTACGAACTTGGTATCGAATCCGCTTAGAGAAAAGGCGGTTTTGCCGTTTCTCTTTATACCGGAGCAAGCTGGCCTCTCTATGCCCTCTCCATAATCTCTCCGTCGTATCCATCTCCGGCACTGTCCATAAACTCCCCGCCTCTCCGGCGTCAGCAAACCCCTAAACCACCAACACAACACACTTGCCTAGTTTCATATCTTGTGAACCGGCTTAATTTAATAAAAACAATTATAAAATGTAAAAATATACTTTCTTGCTACATCTGTCAACAATATAGCATACGATTTTATTACCTCAGTTTTCATGAAATTCGCAAACGTTTTAATCAATCAAACATCAATGCAGAAAAATCAACACATATATTAGAAAAAAAAATTATCAGACATTTTACAGTCCTGCAGTCAAATTAGTAATGAAATCATTTATTTATTTATTCTGCGGTTACATTTTTCAATTTTCTAGTCAAACCTTTAATAATATTATGATGATAAATTTTCAAAAACTTACTTTAATCAGACTATCATCATTACAGTTGCAAAAAAGAACCCGTGATCGCATTAATAATTTCACCGGTTTTTCATATGTCAAAATTAATTAGTCAAATTTAATTAAAAGCGTTGAATATTATGCGATTGAAATGGAAACAACTTAAAAATATGAGATTTTTACTTACATCAGGTGAAGCATGCAAGTCCGGCACCGTCTGCGGCGGTTCTCCGTCGACATAAAGCGTACCTTTATCCGACCAAGCCTCCATGATCTGTTCATAATCAAGCTTCAAAGCAAGTGAAATTCGACCATCGTTTCCGTCTCCGCCGCAACACCGTGGAGTTCCACTCCGACTCATCACTTCCTCCACAACCTCCGAGTAACTCACCCACCGTTCCTCCGTCGTCTCCCCCTCCTCGGTCGCTCCTTTCCTCATCGCCGTTCGTAGAAGCGAAGAAGACGAAGATCCGTGGTCTTGACGATCGTACGGAGAAAGATTCCTTCCTCCACCGTGATCTAGATCGTCGGCTACGGCGGAGGAAGGGAGTAGATCGTGGATCGAAGAGATTGTACTGTCGGTGGCGGAGTTGAAGAGGTAAGCTGCTGCAACGGTGTCGTATTGCTCATCTTCTACAGTCTCTGTTTTCTTTCTCTCCTTAATCGGTGCCGTATTAG